TATAAGTATTTTGGATGAGGTATAAGAAACATAGATCCACAGTGCGGCCAAGTAGAGGGTAGTTTCAAAAATGAACACTTGCACATCTTAAAATTCCCAAACATTCACCTTATGAGTTGGACTTCTATGCTTATTTGAATTTTATTCCAAAAACTTTATTTATTTACTGCAACCGTTAACATTTAAATGAATCATGATGACTATATTAACAAGTTTTTTGTAGTTTTTTGTTCTTTTCTAAGAAGCTGTTATATAGACTGGATGTTATAGTCGTCCAACTTGAAGAATGACCCATTCTGGAGCTTTTTAATGTGAACACTTCCTTTTGAAGCCCTCCCTGTGTGTTCTGCTGTGTTCCAGGCAGCTCAGGGGGAATCTGTGAAAAAAGCAAGCTGTACTCTGATGGGAAGAGGAAGTCTCTCAACACCGGTATAATCACTGTTCAGAACTACGCATCCCACGTACCTCCAAAAGTCTCTCATATCACCTTCGCACATGAAGTGGGACACAACTTTGGCTCCCCTGTAAGCAACTGAGATGTGGCGAAAATGATGGGTGGTGTACACCTTTATCTCATCCTCTTCTAACCTCCGTTTTCTTCTAATTCTTAGCATGACTCAGGATCCGAGTGCACCCCGGGGGAATCCAAAAGCCAAGACAAGAAGGAGAAGGGCAATTATATCATGTATGCGAGGGCCACGTCGGGAGACAAGTACAACAATAATAAGTTCTCCATCTGCAGCATTCGCAACATCAGCCAGGTTCTGGAGAAGAAGAGAGGGAACTGTTTTGTTGGTGGGTAGCGCAGTTTTTTAGCATCTTCTCTTGTTTAAGGAATATTACATTAAATGAGGAAATCCCTCTTTTTGACCTTCGTTCCTGCAGTGGAGAGTTAAGTCAACCAGGAGTCCGAATCAGTGAATAACATGCTGCGACTATTTCAGCTTTGAAATACTGTTTTTATCTGACAACATTTGGCAGGCTGAACTACTGCTTTAATTATTTTCCTTTTATTTTCTGTACTGATAGCATATTTAGCATAGCCTTAAAATTCTTAACTACTCAAAAGAAGTAAAAAATGATGCCTTTATTTTCAACATATTGAGGCATTAAGCCTGGAAAAGTTGTAC